GCGCTGTGGCTCAAGTGGTAGAGTGCTAGCCTTGAGCTGAAGAGCTGAGGGACAGCGCCCAGGCCCAGAGTTCAGGCCCCACGACTGGACCAAAAAAAAAACAACCAAAAAGACCCTGATTAATGTAGCAAAGTTTGAGTGTTCTTTTTCTGCTTTTGTTTTGCACTTTTTAAAAGTAAGTAATCCCATTTTTCTGCCTGAGAGGGTGCAGCTCACGTGCTGTTACCATACAGAGTAAGGCTGTCATATTTATATCCACATGCTGGTAATTCAACTAAAATGATTGCGTCATGGCATGCATCGGCTGCTGCTCCTCCCTCAGTCCTGTGACTATTTGAAGTTGAAGATGATTTTTTTAGCAACCTGTGCCCAGTAAACAGATGTGGGGTGCATGCTGTGCAGCTTGGGGGAGCTGGGGAATGCTCAGTTTTCTGAGTTGGCATGAAGCTTCATGCTTGCTGTAACAGCTCTGAGATGCAGCTTCGTGTAACATGAATGAATTGACTGCATCTTAGCACTTCTGGTGACAGAGCTGATGTATAGGAATAGCGGCTAAGAAATCTTGACTTAGAGCTTGGTAATGGAGAACTTGTGGCTTCCATTCCCTTCGGTGGCATGTACGGAGCTGGGAGCAAGATGGAGCACTGAGGAGGGAGAGCCTGCATCCCTCTTAGGCTGTGCCATGTCAGGCTGGTAACCTAAGCTCTCTGTCTTTAGGCCCTTCACCTGTAGGAGGGAGCTCAGAGCAGCCATCTGACGTGATAGTAAGGGAGGGTACCCGCATGCATCTGACGTGATAGTAAGGGAGGGTACCTGCATGCATCTGACGTGGGGGATGTTTTATTCCTAGCTTTGCATATTTTTCTGAAAATACGAAGTATTCTAGGATTGTTGCCTCTCTGCCCCTTGCTGGGGATCAAACCCACGGGGACTCACACATGCCACACCATCATCTTACCCTGAGCTATAGTCCCCATCGCATTATTTTTGACAGCCCTATGTCTGGGAACCACTGTGGGAAGAATGGGTTGAATTAGAGTCACCATAAATAACTAGAGTGGGAGGCCGAGCCTGTTTCCACATCCTTCACAGCTTAGACTGGACTGGCAGGAAATAGACATTTCCCGTGGCTGGTGGGCCAGGCCTGAGGATCTGATTGATGATACTATCATTGCTCCGTGCTTCTAGACTTTCATCACTGCCTCGAAAAAAAAAAATGTGCTGAGGTTGAAATGTTTCATGCCCCGAGTTTTCTGGTAACTTTCTAAGACTCTGTAATCATTTAACATTTCCTGACAGGATCTGGGTTTTACACTGACTCTTGGAGGAGTCAGTGATCTTCTCTCATGCCTGTCCATCCTCCCCAGGCCCTTCCAGAGACAAACTGCAGAGGGAGATAGATAAGTGTGTCTTGTATTGTGCTTTGGTGTGCAATGGTTTGAAATGAAATAGCTGGTTGATTATGAATGCAGATGAGCAATCTCAGAGCACAAAACTCATACTTGCGATGTCTGTGAGAGGGGAGAAGACTGGAGGGAGAATGGGAAGCTGGATTAGTCTGGAGATTCAGGAATGTTTGTTACTACAGAGAAGAGGAAATATTTCACTTCTTTTGAGTAATTTCAGGTAATTTATCCCATTTCCACTTGCTTTTATTTTCTTCTACTCAGTCCTCCCAAATGTCTTTGTAAGACTTTATCACTTCCTTTAAAAATATAGATATGGAAAAAGATATATTAAAATAGCACAGTAAAAAGCCACAAAAAATACAGTTCTCTCAAAGTTACATTGCAGACTCCTTAAATCACGTAGAGGGTTTCTTTTCTGTCAGCCATGATGAAAATTGTCACACTGAGACCTGCACAAGATCATTCGTTGTGGGGAAAGACTCTCATTTCCCCACCCCCCAAGAGTTCTGGGAAGCATGCAAGCACATGGAGATAGGGTAGCGGCTTAAAGGGACCTGAAATTTCCCCAGAGAAGCCATTTGTCTTCTCTTTAGGTTTCTGAGGAACAAGGTCATGTTCTTTACCATGGTGTTGTTTTCATTCTACACTAAAAATTTCTGGGAATAGCAGCTGCTTGGGCATTTTCCAGTAGTGTTCTGGGAAACATTTAGGGACCACCTCTCCCAGGTCAGGTGGGAAGGCATGATGTACAGGATTTACCAGTCACTGTGGTAGAAATATGGGCTGCAAGCTGCCAGCGTCGAGACTGGAGAGTGGAGTGTGCATTTGGCTTGTCCACTGGTACCAGATAGCTCTGTACAGGGTAACACAGTCATAGCTCCATCGGCTGGGTCCTTCCAGGAAACACTGGTTTACTAAGAACTCTAGTACTTTTTGGTATTTTGTCTGAACACTACAACGTGTTCTTATCACTGGCTTACATTTTAATGTGCAGCTGGTATTTGGAAGGCTGATTCCTCTCTGTACTGTTTGTTCATTAGTATGGATTTGAGGCATGGTCCCACATAAGTGCATTTTCATGCTTGCTGAAGGAAGACATGGTTGGATTGTTGCAGTAGGCCCTCCCTTCTCCTTAAAATGTGCCCAAATAAGCTAGCTACCTCAAGGACTGGCTCAGTAAACCCAGGTGGGGAGATGTGTACGGTATTTTGGTGCCAAGCTTTATGAAGCTATAGACCCTTCAGGAGTGTGTAGGGAGTGAAGATGATGCTGAGCAGACTGGCCACTTCTTTCTGGCCTCAAAGCACTCTCTCTGTATTATTGAAATGAACACAGGGAGAAGAGTCCAACCTGATGTGGGGTCTCTGCAGAGGAAACCCAATATCTACCTTAACATTAGTTGCAAACAGTAGATCTTATTCTCCATTTTTTTTTTTTGGTGCCAGTCCTGGGGCTTGAACTCAGGGCCTGGACACTGTCCCTGAGCTTCTTTTGCTCAAGGGTAGCTCTTTACCACTTGAGCCACAGCGCCACTTCTGGCTTTTTCTGCATATGTGGTACTGAGGAATCGAACCCAGGGCTTCATGCATGCTAGGCAAGCACTCTACCACTAAGCCACATTCCCAGCCCTCTCCAGTGTTTTTAGAAAGTGCCTAACCAGTAGGAAATACTTGATAAATTTAGTTTGCTCAAATTTAGTTTGCTTATTTGCATAGTTCTTAAAGCATGCATTTGTTCAGCTCCTACAATATGGCCGGCAGTTTGCTAGCCACTGGAATTCAGTGTCAAAGGGAAATGTTATGGAGACATTTATTGTTATTTTTGTCTAGTTTGAGGTCAAGAAGTAGGCAGCTTTGCTCAGGACTGCTTGATCTGATGGTGTGGCTGAAACCACAGGCTCTGTATGGCTAAACTATGCCTCCTGCTCTCTTTTGTAATTTTTTACATGCTGGGCACTTTCCCAGACTGCGATTCACTTATTTTAGGCTTCCCGTTGTGCTGGGATGACAGGTGCACACACCACACCCAGCCTCTCCTGTTGAGATGCAATCTCATGGACTTTGCTGCCCTAGCTATTCTGAACCCTCAGTCCTCCCAATCCCAGCCTCTCACAAAAGTAGGATGAGAGACACATGCCACCGTGTCTAGCTATCAGGTGAGTAAGGGTCTCATAAATGTTCCTCCTCAGGCTGGTCTTGAAACACAAACCTCTGGGTCTCAGGTTCCATGTAGCTAGGATTATAGGAGTTAGCCATTGGTACCTTAGCTTCACTTGTTAATCTCATAAACTGCAGTCATTCTGTGTCCACTTTCCTTTGATAGTGCCGCACTCTCATTCCAACTTTCCCTGGGGTGCTTGGATGCTTTTCCAATGGCTGCCATAACAAATGGCTTAAAATACATAAATTCATTCTCTTACAGTTCTAAAGGTCAGAAATGCAAAGTGAGTCTCACCAGGCTAAAACCGTAGTGTTGACAAGTCTGGAGATTCTAGAAGAGCATCTGTTTTCTTGACTTTCCAGCTCCTTGAGGTCCCTGCACTCCTCGGCTTGTGGCCTCTTCCTCCATTTTCAAAGGAGTAATAGTCAATGGAGTCTTCCTTCATATCACTATGTTGGTTTGCCCTTGATTCCTTTTTACAAGAATACTTGTGATTATAGTAGGCCAACTTGACCCAGAATGACCTTTCACTATAAATTCCTGCGCTAACTTGAGCTAACACAGTGAGGTCTCTTTCCCATGTTAGGTAACACGTGCACATGTTTCAAGGAATAGGATATTGAGCTCTTTAAAGGTCCCACTATTCTGACTTCCTTAAGGATATGAACTTTAGCATTTTTGCCTTAGCAGAGGAGAAATCTGAGACCAAGATTTTAACGACATTTCTTTAGGTTACATGGGCACGCAGCAGATTCTGGCCTCTGACTGAACCTCCTGGGTGCCACGCTGTGCCTGCACTTGAACTTTCCATGTCAGGCATCCTGAAGGAGTGCTGAAGTGCCTGAAAATTGTCTACAAGTTGCTCCTGAAATTCTCTGCTTCTGTCTGTTTAACCATTCATTCTGTGTGAAGAAATCATGATATGGACGTTGAGTTTTTAGGGTATGTGCTTAATACCAGCACTAGGAGTCAATACACCAAGTCTTCTATTGAACTTTACTGTGCATTGCTAGGAATTTAATAAATAAAAAGGGAAATTAATTTCACTCAGCTCTGATGTCAATTAACTAACTCAGTTCTACATTCATTCTGGATTACAAATTTCTATTTGTTGTTCTTTAATTAAAGTCACTATGGTAAAGGTTGGAGTTTTTAATTAGTGGGTGAGTATTAGCATATTAAGTTTAATTTAAACATAATATAAGGGCATTTTTTTCTCCCTAGTTTTCATTAAAGAGTACATCAGAAGGAGTCCTCAGTTTTCTTTTGAAGCCTCACAACCTTGGTTATTTCGATCTGGGCCATTGCTACGTGTGCACAATTTCACAGAGAAGCAGTTCCAGTGTAGGCAGAGACAAAGTAGAGTCCTCATGCCTAGGGGCCTTCTCAAAGATGGCCATTCTAGAGGCCACATGGTTGATGATAAATAAGAGATGACAAAGGATGTTAAAATCTAAGTTCAGCTATCCTCTGGTTGAGAAAACAAGCCCATTTCATCTTACCTAAACACAGCATAGATCTCATTTCTAGGATATTCTGGAACTTAAGAAGTTGTTGTCCATTGCCAGTCTTTCTGCCTCTGTGTGTGTCTGTCTCTCTTGGGGTGCAGTGCTGTCTTAGTGCCCTTGGGGCCAGGGGAATGCAGAATGATGAAGTGATGGGCTGAGGGATGCACTGTTGGCCTTTGGACTGGCTTCCAGGTCTGCTAATGACTGTTGGGGGAATCAGCCAGCCCTTCAGCTGAGAGACAAGAATTCCAATGATGGGACAGTGCTTCGTGTAGATGTATAGATTCCATTGGTGTGGGCCTGGGTCAGTAATCATGACCGTGTCTGGGAGATGATTCATTACACAGTGAATCCCCATGAGATTATCTTTTTTCTTTTTTACAATAATTTGTTCAGACAACCTCTATATCAGGGCAGAATTCCTCTGCTGCTTCTTTAGGAGTACAGAGAGCAGTAAATAAATACGACAGCCTGAGATACCCTCCATGCTCTGCTCAGCTCTTCTTGCTGCATAAACAAAAACGTCTTGGTGATTACTGCAGGTCACAAAGGTATTGGGGGAGATGGGACACTTTTGAATGTACATGGCCTGAGTGATGAGGAGAGACAAGAAAGTAAGAGCCCCATGTTACTTTCCTGGTTTAGCTTTAGAATCAATCTTTTCTTAAAATAAAAATCATCCCATGGAGTAAACTTGGAGGAGTCAGAAGGAGGCTTAGTGAACAGAGCCCTCCTCCTTTTGCCTCTCATCCTTGCTGTCCATCTCAGAAGAAGCTGTGATGTGCATACCATGTAATCTTGGAAGCAGAGCTCCCTTCACAGCACTTTGCTTCTGCTGGACAGAGGAAAGACAGTCCTGCATCTGGCCCTTTATTTGCTATTGGATAAAATTCAGTGTACTTACTGGCTGAGGGGAAGGGTAAGTGTAGAGGGAAAGGCCACAAATGGAGGAAGCACTGAGGAATGGTTGGAGACAGACCTAAAGCAAGAAGATTTGCAGAGATCTATTGGTTGAAGACCAATCAGATGTTGGGTGCCATGACCTGGGCAGTAAATACCCTTATGAAGGCCTGGAAGTCCCCTGCCTTCCTGGAGGTGACATCTTAGAAGGAATAAAGACGTGTAGGAAAGAGAAAGGCTACAACTTGAGGCCGGGAACTGCAGTGTCGTCTATAAGGAAATCCACTGATGACTTCTGATGGTGCTATAATCAGGGGCTTCTCATCCCGGAATTTCAGTGGTGACACTGTCTGCAGATCTCATTTCCGAAATGTAAAGGAGGATTCAGCCATTTGTCATAGGAAGGCACTGAGTCTGTGCTGTGAGGGTGGAATGGTGGCCCTAGAAGGAAGGAGCACCTCATCCCCATGGGGTCTCCCCGCCTAGTGGATGCATGGGAACAGGGGATTTGTACAGGAACGAGGAGGGAGCTCCAATATCATTGTGACGTGGGCGGCAGGAACTTTGGGCAGTGAGGATAAGGAAGGGGGCAGCTGCAGTCACTGTGGACAGAAGGAGTATGCTAGGGAGGGAAATAAAGCCTCAAAGAACAGCATTCTGAAAATAAGTTTGACTAGTGATTTGCCTCTGCATGCTGGCATGCAGGCCAGGAAGGCTGGCGGTTGGGTTGATTCTGGGCTGTGGATTTGCCAAGCAAGTTTTATAGAAAGGCACACCTGCCACACTTGAAAGCTTAAGCTCTGGAGTGTTGGCTCTTGGGAACAGAGAGAGGCCGGTGGGGTGGAAGGGAATGGAAAAGGTGCAGACTGGTGATCCTGCCAGAAGGCAGAGAAGAGTTGCCAATGCAAGCAAGCGAGAATGAGCAGAACAACCAGCAGAACATGAGCCAGGCAGTGATGATGGGGGTATATCAGTGTTAAGTGACCTGACTTCTGTAAACCATACTCAGTTCTATGCAGGAAGCACGTGGTTCTGAGGAAATGCACATGGAGCTACTCAGAAGGGAAATAATTACAGCAGAGACTACATGTGGCCTAGGTGATTTGGATTAATCCTCCTAATGAGAATCCACCAAAAATACAACAGAAACTATTTTACAAATCCTAAAAGATCTAAACAACAACATAGGTAATATGGAGATAATTTGTCAGAATTAAAAAGAAAAGAGAATCCAGGTATAGAGATCACAATTCACGAGGGAGGGCTCAGAGCAAGCCCATCCTGAGAGATGAATGGTAGTTCTTCTTGTCCAGAAACCCCAGAACACAGCCAATGGGTGGGAACAGAAAGAAGCGCCTGGGTCTGCGTAGAGAAAACAATATAGTGGAATCAGTGCAGGCCGGGAGGGTGCTGCCCACAGCTCGCCAGGGGGGGCACTGCTGGAATCTCTGAGCACCAGATACACCCAGAGGCTCTTTGACGAAGGAGTGTAGACCATCCCCAGGTGGATGGCCTGGGCAGCAGGCAGGATGTTGATATGCAGTTGACGTCTGGGGCCAGAGTGTTCATCTCCCAAACAGGAATATTGTTGTCTCGTCTCCAGTTTAGTTGCTGTTTGGGATAGAACTTTAGAAAGATGATCTTTTCTGTGATTCTCTTTTACTTTTTTCTTGTTTGATTTTTACCTCTGGTTTTATATTCTCCCTAATTAAAACCTCTAGGAACACGTACAAAATTTAATCAGTTCAATAAATAGTGACACTTCAGGATTCGGCCAGCCTTTTAATTTGTTCTTCACTGGGAAATTCATGGGGGAGGTCACACCAGTGATTTAGCTTCTGAAGTGAAAAAACAACTGAGAATCTGGCTCCTGAGTGTTGTAGAAAAAAGGAGATTTTAGACAAGTAACCAATGCCCTTCCTTTTTTTTCTGAGTTATTTATGGATTTCCAAGTAAAAGTATAAAAGAATGATTTAGCTGCTTATCCTCTCAGCCAAGAGAATGGTATTACTCACTTTATTTCTTTCTGACATTTAAAATATCAAACAAGGCCAGGAGCTGGTGGCTCATGCCTATAATCCTAGCTACTCAGGAGGCTGAGATCTGAGGATCACAGTTTGATACCAAAAAAGTCCCCCATGAGACATCTCCAATTAACCACTCCACACTGGAAGTGGTGTAGAGCACTACTAGCCTTGAGCACAAAGAGGCTTAGGGACAGCGCCCAGGCACTGAGTTCAAGCTTCACCACCATGAACAAAAAAATCAAACAGCTATGAGAGTCTGCAAAGACATACTCAATAAATGAGAAAGCTATGAGGTTGTGAACTCTTGCCCTAAATATCATATACACAGTTGCTATTGTGTTGCAATACTAAGTGTGGCTTCAGTATAAGTGCTGGAGACCTCTCGTCTCATGTTTGAGCTATTGGGTAGGAGGAGGAATGTGGCATCTCTATGAGTAGACAACACTTCTTACTTGTCTCCACAGGTGGCTTGAAATGTCCTGTTTGCAGCTTCGTATATGGCACCAAGTGGGAGTTCAACAGGCACTTGAAGAACAAACATGGCTTGAAGGTGGTAGAAATTGATGGAGACTCCAAGTGGGAGGTAACTCTAGAGCTTGACATTTCTACATATACCGGAAAATCCAGGAAGCCAAGTCCTGGGCCCGACAGCAAACCTCTGGAGTGCTGGATTTGTGGCGGGGAAACATATGCAACCTTTTCAGTTGTCACTCAGGGTGCTGCTGGGTGAAATGCAGATTGAATTTAGACTCCGCTGTGAGTGTTTGCATTGACCTCATTGACAGTTTTGCTGCTCCTAGCCACAAATCCAGTTAGAAAATTAGAAGGCAAGGGGTTCCATGCCATCCTCACTGAGAAATGGTAAGGCTTCATATCCCGATTCCAGACCACACGCTCCCAGTACTGAAGGGTGAACTTCCCTCTCCTGGAACAGAAAGAGGCTGCTAAGAAGAAACCTGGCAGAGCATAGATAATATCTGTAGTGTAGATGGCCATTGATAGTACTGCACTGTCTTGGTTTTGATATGGTGCTATGGTTACACAAGAAGTTAGCATTAGGACAGGCTGGGAGATTAGAGGTCTTCTCCACTGTACCACCTTTGCCACTCTCTGTAAGTCTATGATAATGTCAGAGTAAAATAATTGCAAACAACGAAAAGCTGAACATTTTGTGTAGGGAAGGGAGCCCAAGGGGGGAAGGACAAGGAGAGGTGGATGTCACTGTGATTCATGGAAATAGTTCCCATAACAAGTACTCACTACCTTACCTATGTAACTGTAAACCCTCTTTACATCACCTTGACAATAAAATTAAAATAAAAATAAGCAAGTAATTGAAACAAAAACAAAAACAATGAAGACAAAATGAAAGCACAGAAAGCACATTCTACATATGGATCCTAAAGTAAATAAGTGAATTCTACCTGTGGATCACTCAGTAGTATAACTACATAGTGAGCGTCTATCTCACTAAAATCACTGTTAATAGAATTTGTGCCTTTACGAGGAGACATAACCTTAGTACGAGAAGAGCTTCAGTGTGTCACTGTTGTAGATTTTTCTGTTGTTGGTGGAGGCTGTACTGTTATGCTGAGTCTGTTGTAAGTATTTAATGACTACAACGGAACTCATAAAACATGTTTAACTCTGTAAGTTTCTGTAAAGCTTCTTGGGGAAGATCTCAGCCACCTTTGCAGGAATCAAGGGATTCACCTCTATCTCTTGAGCACTGATTCTAAAGACCAAGGGCCACGCACTCGTCCCAACTTCCCAATCACCCAGTGTCAGCACAGCCAAACATCTGATGAGGACAAGGGGTGTTTTCCTTTAGAATATCACAGTATGTAACCTTCTAATGATGTCATAGATCTAGTAAGGGTCCCCAGTTATGCTGACACTACAGAAAAGAATCAAGCACATGGGCCTCTCTTGAATAAAGCACAGTACAGCCCAGGAAGCATTCTTGCCAAAAAGGGCATCCAAATCTAATTATTTAGATTCACCTCTAACTTGCAGTATATTGAAAACACTGAGATCAGAGCAGCATATTACTTTGTTTCGTGGCAATCCAATCTCAACACTCAGATGAGTGGGAGCTCTTTCAGGCAAAATGCCTGCTCTCCTCAACTAATAAACTTCAGGGGGCGGGAGCCAGAGGTAGAGGAAGATTAGATGCATTTTCTAAGTCTTATGAGACAGATCACTCACTTCTAATGTGTGAACCTCATTTAGATTTGATTTGCTCTGCTTATAAAAATGAGAACACAGAGATTTGGACAGTGTAGGTATGTGTTGGTATTATGGACTAAGTTCTTGAGTGTGACAGTAGTATTATAGTTGTTTTATTTTTTATTTTATTTTATTTTTTTGTCGGTCGTGGGGCCTGAACTCTGAGCCTGGGAGCTGTCCCTCAGCTCTTCAGCTCAAGGCTAATGCTCTACCCCTTGAGCCACAGTGCCATTTCTGGCTTTTTCTGTTTATATGGTGCTGAGGAATTGAACTCAGGGCCTCATGCATGCAAGGTAAACACTCTACCACTGAGCTACCTTCCCAGCCCCTGTAGTTGTGTTTTGGAGGAGTTTTAGCATTTGTATACTGGAGTCTTGAGTTTGGGTCCACATGCTTCCTAGGCAGGTGCTCTTACTGCTGGGCCAGGCCTCCAGCCATGATTTTGGCCAGCTATTTTTGAGTTAGAGTCTTGCTTCTTGCACCTAGGCACAGTATGCCTATGTGAGACTTCCTGTTTAGTTAGTAAAACAAGTGCTTAACAGCTTTCCGTTGAGAAAGGGGTCTCATAAACTTTTCTGTCCAGGCTGGCATTTAAATACAGTCCTTGCAATCTCAGCTTCCTAAGAAGCTAGAATTACAGGTGTGAGCCACTGGCACCCAGGGATTTTTTTAGCTTTTGAGATATATTCTGAAATATTTATAGAGGAGATAATTTGCTTCAAGAGTGGAAAATGAAAAGTATGGGACCCAGAACTATAGTCAAATAATGACTGGCTGTGAATTAGTAATTGTTCAGTTGGGTGAGAGAAGCATGGAAGTTGATTACACTCATCTTTCTGCTTTTGTGAATATTGGAAATTTTTTTAATGCCATTAAAAAGTCAAGAATGAACCGGGCACTGGTGGCTCATGCCTGTAATCCTAGCCACTCAGGAGGCTGAGATCTGAGGATCGCAGTTCAAAGCCAGCCCAGGCAGGAAAAGCCATGAAACTCTTATCTCCAATAAAGCACCAGAAAACTGGAAGTGCCACTGTGGCTGAAGTGGTAGAGTGCTAGCCTTGAGCTGAAGAGCTGAGGGACAGTGCCCAGGCCCAGAGTTCAAGTCCCATGATGGACCAAAAAAAAAAAAGTCAAAGATGAACTTTGGTTTTTAATTCTGTCTTTGTCATCTGCAAACTGCTTAACCTTGAGCCATTGTTTGACTAATTTGGCCTTAGTGTATTCATCCACACAGTAAGTGGATACTATCTGAGAGGATGAAAGGACTAGCAAAATGCTGTGTAAGTTGCAATGTATGTAGCCCCAGATAAGCCCTTCCTACTGTTAGTGATGAGGACATCCTCAGCTTCACATTGTCATCTGTGGAAACAGTTAATTGCCTAGTGCAAGTTCATGCTGCAACAATTTGGTCTCTGTTGATGAAATAGAAATTGAAATGCCAATTCATGTTGTAAAATTGAATCCACCTTGATCAGTGGGTATTTTTATGAATGCATACAGTAACATCCTTTACTTCTGAAGGGCTTACTTCTCACAGATTCTACAGAATCTGCAGAACAATGACCACAACAAAAATAGTTCACACACACACAGACACACACACACACAGACACACACACACATGTACTTTATTCTATAGTGAGACAATACAGTGTTCTGGAAGCTGGGGAGAAGTCACTGTCCTGTAACAAGCCGCCTGTTCCAGGGGTGTGTGTGTCACCTGGCTTCCGGAATGTGAGGGGCATTGTCCTCCCTGAAAGCAGTGATTGCATTGCTTCCCAGAGTGAGCGTGCCACATGGCGTGCAGCCGGACCTGTCACAGGCTAAGGCATTGCTTGAGTCCAATGTTGCCTAATATGTGTTCCATGATGCTCTAAAATGTTCTTGTTTCTTTTTTTTGGGGGGTGGGTCCGGTCGTGGGGCCTGAACTCTGGGCCTGGGCGCTGTCCCTCAGCTCTTCAGCTCAAGGCTAGCGCTCTACCACTTGAGCCACAGCGCCACTTCCGGCTTTTTTCTTTTCTGCTTATGTGGTGCTGAGGAATCGAACCCAGGGCCTCATGCATGCAAGGCAAGCGCTCTACCACTGAGCCACCTTCCCAGCCCCAAATGTTCTTGTTTCTAATTTCTGCATTCACCAAATATTCATATGGTATCTGCTATATGTCAGGCTGGAGGTACCTAAATTGACTTGGATCATGAGATGAATATTTCTCTGAAGCTGTGTGATGTGTGTTGATGGAGCATGACTTAGGCTCTTGTGGACTTGGTCTGAAGCCCCTTATTTTTTTCTTTTTTGGGGATCATTCATGCCGCTATCCTTGAAATCCCTTTGCACGTCACTCCAACGCTTCCTGCTCTTACACGCTCTGAGAGTAGACAGATGATACTTCTTGTGATCAGTTTTCTGTTCAGTCTCCATTTTGTGATGACAAGAATGCCACAAACAGCCCCAACTCACTGGACCCTCACTGTACCAGAAGTGTGCTGTACCTGCTATGTAATTATCCATCCTCCTCTCTCCTCTCCCCCTTTGTTCCATTGCTGCTGCTTTGCCTCTGTTAAATACGTGGCCTGAGGCTCCAGACTAAGAGGCAAATTAAAGTTATAAATCTCTGGTTTTGAACAACCTGTTCCATTTACTACTGTGGGGCACGAAACTTCCACCACAGCTGGTTGGGTTCAGAAACAGTTTCTCTTTGGGAGGTACATTGATTGGGATGAGTGGTTTCCCAGGGAGGTTAAGGAAATAAGATGTTCTAAAGCCTTGCCTTGTGTTCATGTGTTTTGTCTTAATTCATTACTCTGCGTCTTCTAGGTAGCAGTCAGTCTTTGAGACGGATGCAAATATATTATCTTTCCATTTTTAGCCAGCAACAGAGACTGGTGAGGAACTGTCCACCCAGTATCTCCACATCACAGAGGCGGAAGAAGATGTGCAGGGGACACAGGCTGCTGTCGCTGCCCTTCAGGATCTGAGAAACACCTCTGAGAATGGTGAGGCATGGCTGCTCCCTTCAGCACAGGACCCTAGTCCTGTCTGAAGGGTCTGAAGGCTCCTTCAGCACTTCAGGTCTCTACATGTGGGGCGAATGGATCTGGGGATGAATGATGCTCACCAGTTGATCTGAACAGCCTCAAAGAAGAGCTGATCTCACTATTCTTACTTTGCAGGTGTGGAGGAGGCTTTCTATTGTGGATGGTGGGCTGAGGTTGTTGGGAGCAGGCCCGGGAGTCTAGAGCTCTTGGCTCCTCCTCAGGGAAATAATGTCTCATCCCATGCTTCATGACTGTCCTGGGGGCTCTTCTCAGGGGCCAGAGGGGCTGGCCGGTGGCAGTGGGTGCTAGGTCTGCCATGCCAGCAAGTTACCTTGCAGACCACCTGGGACCTCAAGGCTTTCAGTCCACACTCAGATGCCTGGGGCTGCCAAGCTGTCACCCCAATTCCTGTGCTTTCCCAAAGGCTCACTCAAGGCCAAAAGTCAGTTTTTATTTTATTTTTGCAGTGGTGGGGATCCAGGCCGGGGCCTCACTCACACCGGGCAAGTGCCCTGCCAGCGAGCTGCATCCTCATGCCGGTTTTCAGTTTCCATCAGTTTTAAACACAAAACTCCCATGCCAGTTTTGTGCTCAGTATCTACACACTTTTAGTGTGTAGCACAGCTCTTGTTTGGGGCCAGAGATGAAAATCAAGCAAGATTAAAAGGAAAGCATTAATTGAAGTCAATTCAATAGGAAATAGGAGTGAAAAAAATGCTCTTTGACCAGTCCTTCCGCCCCTCAGCCCCAGGTGTTGAGAAAGCTACTCCTAAGCTCCTGTGAGTCCATTTAGGAGCGTCATTGGCAAGACAGGATTGTCTGCCTGCCCAGCTATAAGGAATGGGGAAGATAGCACCACCACTTCTGCAGACAGAAGAGTCAGAGCTCGGGCTGTTCAATGTGATTCTCTACAGAGTTGGCCCATCTGAATTTAGTTTCCTTCGTGTTGTTCAGTGATGTTACAGGACCTGCAGAATATAGCCTATCTTTGTGTCTCTATGTGAGTGTCTCTCTGTGTGTGTCTCTCTCACACACACACACACACACACACACACACACACACACACACACACACACACACACACACACACACGTGCCAAAGGCCCTCCAGTGTCTTTTCTGAGCTCTTTGAATACTTTTCAAACCTCGCAGCTGAGTTAGGCCTGCCTGTTCCAGCCTGCTGCCCCTCATTTGCCCTGTCTTTGCCAGAGTCTGCAGCCCTCAGCATAGCTGCAGCTTTCACTGTGTGCTCCTGTGCTCCCTGGGATCTGGGCTGGCCACTTGCCCTTCAGCACATTCTTTCTGGACAGCTCATTCCTAGCTTCAGTATGCAGTGTGTAGAGCATCCACTGAGTCCCACCCACCTTCTTCCCCTAACTGCCCTCCCTACCTGAGACCTGTCAGTGCACTTTGCCAACAATGGGTCTCAAGAGCCTGGAACACAGCAAGAAGAGGATGGGGAGGCCTTGTTAGTCTTTGCCTGTTTTCCCAGGAGGAACCACAGTTCCTGGCAGGTCGTAGGGCTGGATAAATGGGGGAGTACCTGGATGAGGGATTGAGACCCAACCTCAGTAAGTTTTAAGGTAAATGTTTCAATCTTTGGATGTTCAGAGTGGTTGATTACAAGGCATATCCGCATCATCTCCTCCTAGGGCATGGGTGGGCATAACTGTGGAATGGTCTGGGACTCTTGGTGGTAAACATCTATTCATCTGTCTGTCTGTCTATCTATCTATCTATCTATCTATCTATCTACCTACCTACCTACCTACCTACCTACCTACCTATCTATCTATCTATATTACATCATCACCTTAGTCATATGCTGTGTCCTACCTACATCATGTCAAGCTCTTCTTTTCTCTGATTACTTGCTGATTCACATTGGAACATGGTCTTGAAAACTGCCGGTAAGGATGCAAACATTGGCAAAGACATTGGTAAAGTGGGCAGCTGTTTCTCTCTTGATCAGGATCAGGGTATGATCAGGATTACAGGGAGGCTCACAGAAGGTCAGAGCAGATGGGGTATGCTAAATTGTTGGCCTTGAGTACTGGCAGGATGAAAACGGAAGCTGATCTGGGGTTGGAAACCCCACGGGCAGGATAGATAGGGTATCTGTGGGTGGTTTGCTGTTCAACTGGGTGCCTGACACAGCCCACTTTCATGGCCACCTACCATGCACTCGAGAGAAGATGTCAGCAGGTGCTCCAGGAGCGGCAGTGTGAGGGGCAGGCCCGTGTTCCCAGGTTGAGCTTCAGAACGTGAGCCTCTAGGGTTTGGCCTTGACTTTGTGCTGTTAATTGGCCATTGGGCCTGATGCAAGTCTCTGCTTTTTCTGTGATCCAGTGACAAATTGACAAAGTGGGGATCCTATCGCAATGCCATCTTCTCACTGGGCTGGGCATTTTGAGATGTTCTTGTAGAAAATGCTTGATAAGCTGTAAAGTACCATACAAATCATTTCTCATGACACAGTACAAGAATGCTTAGAACCCGAGCATCCCGTCAGAGGCCTCATCCTGGGAAAGGGCGCTGGCTTGGCACTGGTTGCCCTTCCACCAGGTGGCCCTAATGGTCTCGTGTGCTTCTTGGTCCTCAGGTGACCGGCTGGACCCCACAGCTGTGAACATCCTGCAGCAGATCATCGAGCTGGGTGGAGAGACCCACGACGCCACCGCTGTGGCCTCGGTGGTGGCCATGGCTCCCGGGACGGTGACTGTGGTGAAACAGGTGAGACCCCCACACTCTGAAACACCCATCTCCGAAGGTCCTCCCTGCCGTGGTTTCAGGGCTCTAACTTGCCTGGAGTCAGAGTGGGAAAGAAATTGGCCTACTGTCCTGCATTTCCATCTACCTCCGACTGTTACAGGTTGCGTCTCTGTGACTATGAGTGGGGCTTTATGAAGGGACATAATATATTTCAAAATTCCCCAGAGACTCTTCATGCATTTCCTTGCAAAGAAGGGAGCTGGTGTGGACGTGTGTGGGCACATCTGTAGTGAAGGCTGCGGCCCCAGCAAGGAAGCAGACCAGTGCAAAGTGTGGGAACACACAGGCATGCCAGCAACCTCTCCCCAGTGCCCCCCGCCCCCATCACCTGCTCAGATCCATACAGGATTGAAAGAGAATGGAGAGTTTGGGAGAAAGATCCCTTTGCCAAATTAGTCATCGCACTGCTTGGCTCATTCCTCCTCTGTCCACAGCCAGGCTTCACCATGTGCTAGAGTGCAGCATGCTAGGCCGCCGGGGCATCCTTGCTGTCGGTGTACTGTCTCTTCATCTACCATCTCCGGCTCTCATCTTATGAAAGATTTAGGCTGGCTTCCACAGGCACTTTAAGGACAGAAAACAAAAACACTGAACACATTGAAACCAGGGAAATTTAATTCATGGAGAAAGTTGAAATGTAGAATATCCTGTCTTGTATGGTTTATCTGTGCTTGCCTGGAGTCATTCAGTGGGTATTTTTTGAGTGCCTGCTCTCCTCAGCCAGTGTTCTGGCTGTTGGGTTCCCCGGGGAACCGGTGTCTACCATCAAGTGGTTCCTCTCAGATGGGGACAACCAGGATGACACGCCCAGCTGGTGTGCAGATGCAGTAACAAGGAGAAGAGGGAGGGAGGGGAGGGTTGGGGCCGACGAGTGGGGGTTGGGGCTGTTATATAAAAGGCTTATTGGAGAAAAGTCTATCTGAACTTGAGGAGAGACCTAGAAGAGATGCACACTATTAAAATTTTGGTGCTGAATTTTGTGAATGAAAGCAAGAAGGAAAGGTGAACCAGGTAACTTAAGGAAAGCATAAGCTTTTCTTGGCAGTCACCAATGAAGATATTTCCTAATATGCCTGTCATGTATCGACTCCTGGGCGATGCTTCCTGGCCACCTGCCACTGGTAGTTGGAAGTGGACAGCCTTGTGGTCTCTATACCAGCCCCCCATGTGTGCTCAGGGACCACACAAAGCAGGAAAATCAGGCCAAGTATTTCTCTCAAGGCAATTATAGAACATCTGAATTAACTTTGGATTTCTAGATTAACAGATCAGACTTACCATATGTGGAGGAATTACTTAATTACGTGTCCTCAAACCCCTCTCTCTCTCATAGTGTGGTTTCATTCTAGGAGGTACGAACAGAAGTCAGACTGCGGGCAGTGGGGTGGTTCAGTCTGCATTTACCTGCTACTCTATATTCATTGAGAATAGATGTGTTCACTTCCAGGTTTTTTGGCTTTGCTAGGTGTTTACTAGGCTGCAGTTGTGACCTTGTTTTATGAAGCTCTTCTGGAGCGCTGCATGTGTATCCTGAGGTGTAGAACCTTGAACTAGACCTGGTTCCTCGGGAAGGGTTCATTTGGGCAGAGTTAGGAGGACTTTGGATGTGTCATACATGCAGATGCTTTTGAGAGAGTCAAAGGTGCTGCTGACTGTGATATGTGGCATCTCTAAGGAAGGGATAGGTCTGCTGCTCTCTGGGCTGTGATTTATTGAGTATCACAGGCAATGCAATGATACATGAGGTTCTGATGTGTTGTTAAGATACAACTTAGATATGCTCCCAGGCATTAGACTGACAGCTCAACAAGGGGAGAGGCAGATAAGCATCCTGGAAAAAAACCCAACAATTTATATATGCTCCCAAGAGGAGGAAAGAGCGGAGCCTCTCATAGCAAACGCAGGGCTGCACGTAGTGCTGCGGGACACAGTGGTGAGGAATCGTGTCTGGAAAGATGCACCTGTGTGTGTCAGTGTCATGTCTGCCTGGCCAGCACCTCACTTTCACAGCACCTGGCTGTGCATACAGGATGGAGCGGAGAGCAGATGGATGGGTGGATGGGCAGGGAGACCTTAAATGCCCACGTCTGTAGCTAAGAGACTGTAGCATTTCCAGCTCTGCCAGCTAAAGGAATGCCCCCACTCACTTGCCTCATCATTTGTGTTGAATGTGGCTGTTTGTATTGGAGAAGTGTGTTTAATTGTTTTCGTTGTAGTTGAACTCTGGTGTAGGAAGTTACGTCTGCTAATGTGTGTGCTAAACCACTGAGAAGCAAGTCCTATGGACCTGTGGGAAAGCGATGATGGCTCTCTCCTTTGTGCGAGGCTCACACGGCCTGGGTGTGGGCGACTTCCACCACGCACCCGGCAGGACAGCACATGCGAGGACTTGGGGTGCAGTTAAGCCTGCCTTTGTTGAGACCCAACAGTTCGCTTTCAATGAGTTGGTTTCGTCCTCTTTTAATGAGTTTTATGAGAAGAAGATTTGTATTTGATTAATAAGATTGCCTAAGTAGTTTAGATGTTAGACATGTCACAGGAAGTACTACTGTGAGATTCTCTGAGTCACTTTTAATCATGTAAAAGAAAAGGAAGACTTAAGGAACTAAAATAAATAGTCATCACCTTGGCTCCTGGCTGACATCACTGTGTTGTTCTTATAGATTGCATTTTATTTTAGAGACTGTTGGCTTAATGACTTTCATTCATGTAGTGGGCACTGATTGAAAGTTGGCTGTGGTCAGAGACGGACAGTCTCTGGCTAGAGTTTCCTGTTGGCCACTGTCACAGGTGACCACAGGCTGAATGACTTACACAGCACAAATGTATTAGCTTGCAGCTCTGTAAGTCTGGAAATCTGATAGGGGTTTCCTGGGCTAAAATTAAAGTGTCAGCAGAGCTATATTCCTCTGGAAAGGACAAAGCCCACCTTCCTTTGCCTTTCCCAGCTTCTAGCGGCCACCCACATGTGTAACTCAGGGCTCCATCCTGCAGCGGCAGAGCTAGCATAGCAGGCTGAGGTCTTCCTCTGCACTGTTCCCGTGGTCAGAGTGCTTCTCCTTGGCTAGTGCCGCTCTCCTGATTAGCTTGGACACTCGGCCAGTTGCCCAGGCTTGTCTGCCTGGCATGTCACCCTAGGACAAGTTCCTTGGCAGGTCACCTCTGCAGAGTCCCTTCTACTGTGGGAGGTGGCATACGCCTAGACACTATGGACTGGGACGTGGGCGTCTCGTGGGGCCCATCATTCTGCCTCCCACACCGGGTCACAGAGATAAGACAGTCGCTGCTCTTGGGTGGCAAGTCTTCTAAGGAGGAAAGTGATTTCTTCTCTCATTCAACAGTATCAGCCAGGTGCTGTCTCTGCACTTGGAATATTCCAGTGAACAAGTAAGAGGAATGACACTGCTGCTGAGCGTCCTTCTGGAGGGGATGGCTACGCCGGTGCGCGTAGTAAATAAGAGCATTTCAGAGTGTGGGAGGAGCAAGGTGCCATGGCAAAAGAACAAAACACACGTCCCCATCAGGCAGTCTCAGAGGAGGGCGATGAGCACTGTACAAAGAGCCTGGATCCGGGGCAGAGGCACATGCCTGGAGCCCTGTCCCTCCCCCAGGACCCCCTCCTCCTCCAATCACGGACACGTGCCTCTGCCCCTGATCCAGTGTCAGTCAGCTTTTCATCTCTGTAACAAAATATCTGACACCAGCTACCTGTGAAGAGGTTTATTTAGCTCACCTGTGTGGGGCCTGCAAGGCCAAGGTCAGGAGGACCACTTGCCTTGAAGGCGGTGGATGGGGCCCATCATGTGAAGGGGCTGGTAGGAGTGCATCAGAAGGGAGCAGGTGTAGGAGGAGATAGTCGTGTGTTGAGCTGGAGCAGAGACAGCCCCCATGAAGGACATGCCCCTGTATCTCAAGGATCTCCCCAGTGGATCCTACTTTCTGAGAGTTACATCATTTCTTGGTAGTACTACCCTGCTAACCAAGCCTTCCAACATAAGGCCTCTGATGGCCATCCAGACTGGTATTTAAACTAGAGCAGAAAGTCAGCCTTTTTATTCTATACTGATCTTCAACTGATAGGAAGAGGCCCACCTATGCTAGAGAAGGCAGTGCTTTCGATTCGTCTTCCAATTTAAATGTTAATCTCATCCAGAAATACCCTCGTGGTCACATACAGAATAATATGAGACTGAATCTGGGTGCTCTGGCCCAGTCAAGTTAATTAATCATCAAACACACACGTGCACCTCAGAGCGTGAGCATCTTGCTGTCAGTGCATAGTTATTATGTACTCCAGGGGCGGAATTCCCAGGTGCCCTGGGGATGGTGTTGATGTGCAGATTTTGTGGCTACTCTGTAGCTGCAGGAGCACACACGCTGCTAGTCCCATATAGATATAGATACATTTTTTTTGACAGAGTTGGTATTTTGATTCAAGGTTCAGGAATCTACTCTGCCCTACAGAGAGTCATAGTTGAAGAAGTGCTAGGCCTGTTACAATTCAAAACCTGGCACTAGAGGGTCCTTGACCCCCTCTTCTTACCCTTCCAGACCAGGGTCTGCCCCAGAGAAGCAGCTCTGCAGGGGCACTGCTCAGGTTCAGCCTCTGACCCAGTGGAGCCTGCTCCCTGGAAGTGCCTGCCAGGAGGCCCGACCCCGCCTCCGCGCCCAGGGCCATACTGAGCCTCTCCTAGCACTTGGGGCCAGATACTGGCAGGTGGCTATGGAAAGGGGTTTTTGTGAGGCTTCAAATCTATTTTCATTATTCATTTTTTAAAGGAACAATCAGCACATTCTAAATGATTATAGCTGCACATGTCTGAGGCCTAGCAGAAAAGCTCTTGGAAAGACCCAGTACAGGAGAGACAGGCCTCATCATGGGGGTGACCCAATTGCGGCCTGTTCTCTATCCTACCCGCAGAAGGCCTGAGTAGCGCCTGGCTCCTTTTCCTGTCTCTTTT